CTTTGATGGTGCTGCAGTGCTGCCTGGAGGTGGATCAGCTGAAGTTCAAGCCCAAGCTTGCCTTAGAGGTCCATGGACTTTATCGAGCTGCTTTCCCATCTCGTTACAAAAAACGGCAGTGGGTCCTTCAGCAACACCTCCGGCCCTACTAACAGAAACTCCACGCTCATGCCCTAATTCTCGAAGGAAAAAGGTGTTCACAATCGCAAAGACTCCCACAGCTCTCATCCACAGCCTGAGCAACACATCTTGAGGCCTGACCCGCTTAGCTCCTCGTACACAAGGGCCACTCCAGAGTTCAGATGAGGTCATTACCACAGTTACCTGCAGATGTTCAAGAAAACAGAGGAGCCCGAGAGCCCAAAGACCTCGAGGGATCGCAGGATTTAGCGGGAATTCGGCAGCAAAGAGCCAGGGTCCAACAGGAGGTGGCATAGCGATAAATAAGTTTCTGAGAAGAAGTTGCAGCCAACCTTTACATCAGCTTACTAGGCATACTAGCAGCACCACTAGCAGCAGCAGCAGCAGCAGCAGCAGCAGCAGCAGCAGCAGCAGCAGCAGCGGCTTGTACAAGCAATGATGAAGTCGGCACACTAATATGCGGACGGGTGTTTTGGAAGTCAGGCTATGGGGCCAGACATAGATTGTGAGTCTGGGTCTTTGACTGCAGTGACGGGTTGTGGCCAGGCTGTGGCCTCAGCAGTTGAAGGTGTTGGAGGTAGCGCCTCAAATTTGGGACAGGGACCGGCTAGTTTGGCTGGTAGATCCCGAAATGAGAAGATGAGAATTGAGGAGAATGACATAAGATGCCTTCGGTTGTCAGATTGAGCTTTATTTGCTTGAGTCGACTCCCTCAAGGCGCCAAAGGCTAGGCATGTATTCTGTGGAGTCTCATGCAGGCTGGCTTCTGTCCTCGCATGGGCTGTTGAATCGCCAAGCCCTTTCCTCTTTGCCTTGCGAAGGTGGCTCTTAGACATGCTGATTCCCGTTCCTGTTGTTCTTGAACAGGGCTTGAGAATTTGGTTTCCGGTAGCGTGTGTCTTTCAAATTGCAGACGTGAACCCATCTTGTGCCTCAGAGGCGGGTGAGTACTTTCGTAGCAATGCCAGTAGCCCCTTGAAATAAATGTTTGCCCAACCCAAATCTGCCATTTCAGCTGACAATTCCCCACGCCCCTCGCCCAGAGATTGTCAGACCAACATCACGGTAAATCGCCAATCGCGTTGTAATGAGCAATGCAGGGGGGAATCAGCGGGTCCAATCTCAGCCAGCAACAAGGTGTCCAGCAATACTTGCAGGGTTCATCCCCTGGTTTCCGAGGCTCCATGGCACTTGAACCTCGTATCTGAACCCAAATCACTAGTCACGACCCTACAGCTCCGAAGCATGGAAATATATGAACAAATCCAGCCCTCAAGCCGCAGAGCCCCCTATGACATTTTGAATTTTAGGTCCTCTGTGAGAACCGTGCGCTCTTTCGCTAGGAGTTGGTGGACTCCCTAAAAAACGAAACGGCAGATGGCGTCTGCCTTGGTGGTGTCCCAGGACTGGCCATATAGGTTTGGCTGTCAGACTTGCATTGTCAGGGCTTCAGGCCGCCAATTTAGGGTTTAAGGAACATTTCAGTCAGGGCTTCAGGACTTTCAGCTGCTGAAAAATGCTTCGACTAGATTTCCATCTGAGAAAGTTGAGCCCACAATAGTACCTTTGACAGGTTGGGGCCAGTGGCGATGTGGTAAGCTTTCCGCTGGACTCAAGCACTGGGCTCCCTGCACCAACTATGACCACTTTGCCTCTCCCGCCGGCGTTCAAAGCTAGACATCCATTGCCAAGATTGAAAACCAGAAGCAGTGCGCAGGCACAACGCCGGTAGATCAAGATTTACGCTTGAAAATGCTCACAACAAATCACGCAACCAAGAAGCCCCAACAAGCCGAGGCAGATCCCCCAACTCGTATCGAGGGGTCCACGCTGACATGCCCCTGACCCCTAGCCACCCGAAACCGGAGTCCTCAAAAAGCCCCACACCCTAAACTGGACGTGAACCCAAAACTTCGGACGCTCCATCGGACAAGTCGCCATGCGCTTCTGCGGCCGGCCCGTTGACCGCGCAGCGGCCCTGGGCACCAGAAAAGATGGCGAGGCCAGGGCTTTGAAAAAAGGGGTTCTTCGTCTGTTCGAACTAGAGATGCGGAGATTGTTGCGGTTCTTGCTGTTGGAGCTTGCGGGTGTTGAGTGCTAGCAGAGTGGTTTGTTCTGCGTGCTTTGAAGACACGGAAGCATGCAGGGAGTTGGAGCTTTGTTCGGCACTCTAAAGGCATTAGAGGTTGTAGTTGGTTTAAAACCGTTTCAGTTGGCATTTTGGGCTGCAGCTTTTGGTGCTTTTGCTGTTTGCAGCTTCGTCGTCCGGAGCTTTACGTTGTTTCTTGAGTGTCAGGCTTGAAGCAAAACAAGCACGGCTGGTCTGCAAGCAGACCAGATAAACAGAGTTCGTCTTCGAGCACGCACGTGATGTTATTGTCATGGAGTAGGCCGAACTTGCCCCATAGACGCCTTTAAGCAGACTTTGAAGCCTCGCAAATGCTGAGATGCATCAGAACCTCAACTCAACTTCCAAAACCTTTATCGCACGTCCGTCAAACCCTGAAGCGGCCAAACAACGCCGTTTTCATCGATTCTCCTACCATGGATGTAAAAAGGAACGTGCGTTGGAAGACAATAGGTCATGCAGGTCGCAGACCAAAAGCAGAGAAGGCTTTTTCGGGTCCTCCCTGCATCCTATCCTGGAGCCTCTGCTGATGGAAGGCAGTCCGCAAGCTCTCCGAAGCTGCATCTGCCCGATTCCTCGTAGCGCCACTGCTGCCAAAAGCTACAAAGTCAAATTTGTCGAAGGCGGATATGGGGATGGTACACGTGTCAGGTCGTACAACTGAAGGGTTTTTCCCATTTTGTTTTAACTGCCTAAGGGGTGTGGTATTGTTGCGTAGGGCTTAGTGTTCGCAAGGGGCGTGGAGCAGGATCGCGGGCAGTGGACAGATAGGGGTTTCCGGTTGGCGTTGGCGGCTGGAGGCCTCTACGTTTGATTTTTAATTTAAGGTAGGTAAAGGTTTGCATGTCAGGGTTTGTGATTCACGTCGCTTGAAGGGCTGGACATCCATTTCCATAATTATGTCCCACTTGCCCCCTTAACGCCTGAGCCACAAACTCCACACTGCCCAATCTCCAAACCCAGGCGACACACCGACATTCTTAACCTTCGTACAAGCCCCAGAAAGCCGCCAAGGTGCATACAAAGCGTGTGCTGGCCACAAAAAATTCGCTCGTTTGGCTGCAGCGCAGCCAGATCGACGGTCTTGTGTCTTGGACACGAAAGGGTCGTTGCCAAATCATTTTGGCTCTTTACATTAAGGGGTTTCCTTCTGGATATCTGTGTTACGCATTCAGGTTCGGGTTCAGGGCTTAGGGTTCTTTAGCCATTCCTGCCTCCTTAGCCAGAGTCAGATGAAAAAGTGCCATGAAGATCGACCCCAACCCTGCTCCCTGCACCCCACGCCTTTGCGATGAGTGCGGGCTATGGCCACACGAAGAGTATCAGCTATGGCTCATGTCATAGGATTGAGATACGTCGTTTAGCGCCTATAGTGGCGTAGCGGCGCTTTATTTTTTCAACGCGTGGGGGAACGAGTGCAGTGCATGATGGCTCGTGAGAGAGCTCTTCAACCGTCTTCAAGCGAAGCACTCCCGATCACCCCAAGAACAGCTGAGTAGCAAATTGGACTCTCGTCAGGCAGCCTCATTCCTATGTACGCCGAGAACATGTTTCTTACCTCTCGCTCTTTACCATATTACTCGAAACAAAATCTTGCGCGCCCTAGTAAATCAACCGACAACCCTGAATTCAAGTATATCCAGAATCATAGAGGAGTACAACCCTGACCCTTTGGCCGCGAGCCCAGGCAGCTTCTGCTAAAGCGTCTCGGACCGAGGTTTCGCAGCAGGGTTCTTGCCAGCGGTGTTGCACATTTCAAGAGTGTTCATCGAGCGATCACTGCATGGGAGTACCACGGGAATATTCGGTACTTGGGGACTAGGGATGTCAGTTTTGGATCTTGGCCTTGGTGTTCACGGATTATAGGGTCTGGTGCTTTGACCACGCTGGCCATAGGACTTGGTATTGTATGTCATGGTAGTGTTTAATGTCTTTGGCATTTATACAACGTGAGCTGAGACTGAGGCTTATCTAGGCAACATGTCACCGAGGATCAACGGTTGATGGGTGCTCCAGACGAAAAGTGGCAGGAGAACGCGCAACAACTAGCAACACATTACAACATGTTACAATTCCGGACTCAGTGTGCCTATCCACGGGCAAATCAGAGGTACAAGCACACTCTAGCTCAGCATGTTAAGCTAAGGTCGGCTTTTCCTAGTCTCCATCCCACATACAGCTGCTGCAGGTTGAGCCAATCCAACGCAGGATCAGCCTCACAAAGCGTGAACCCCAACCCTTAATTTCAAGTCTTCATGAACTACCAAGCCACAAAGCTCCAAGGTCGGTGATGAGAACTTGGAACCCCACACCTTAATCCTGCACCCAAAAGCCAGTCCTGCGGGGAAGCCGCAGGCATCTTCTCCCGAAGACCACGTAATTTATTCCCACAAACAAGTTTTAAGCAAATTGTTAAATTTTATGGGGAATTAAGATTGTATCTGTATCGTTGAAGGCAGCACTTTGTAAGCCTCTCAGGCACCGCTCGTAGACTTAAAAGTTTGCTTCGTTGGAGAAGTCCCATTCTATGACCTACAGAACCGATACGCGCCAAAAGATGGAAACCGCGGTGAACCCTTGATATTCTTGTGTTGAACATGGGTCGGAGCAGTAGAGAGGCATAGGACGACCGTCTGACACCGAGTTGACATTATGAAAATCCGTTGAACAACCAACCCAACCCTAAATTCCAACTCTGATCTCCAATTTTTATGGCCGCTTAGCAGCCCAGGATCTAATCTACCTGGGCCCTCTGTCCGACACCTTCGGACCCAGCGGATGCGTGCTGCCGCCCAGGGCAGAGGCCAATTCTGTCTTTCATAGCTGTACACATATCGAGGTCGCAGAATCTAGGGCTTTATGACCCTGTTTCGCAAAGAGCTTCCTACTTCTCAGTTCTCGTGAAGTTCACTGCCATGGTGCGCCAGTTCAGGAAGTTTCGAAGATCTTGTAAGTCAGAAGAGGCACGAACCCGCCGAAGACCTTCGCACAAGGAGTCCTTCACGGGTATATAATTGCTCCAGAACGGCACAAACATTGCCATGTTGTACTGTCTCCCTCCATCCGTGTGTCTCTCGTCTTCTTTCTTGATTTCTTTCTGTCTTTTGTTATTTATTCATTCTCTCTCTCTCTCTCTCTCTCTCTCTCTCTCTCGCTCTCTCTCTGTGCATTCATGCTTATGCCTGTACATGTACATCGATACTGCCCCAAAACCTGAAGTCCCTCGGCAACTAAGCCTCGTTGAAGGCTTTTGCAGTGGATATGGCCGCCCTTGCAGTGCCAGAAGACAAGGTCCAGGGGAGTCGGGTGCGGCTGCGGCCATGTTAAAGCTTCTTGCGTTGCTAGATGACTAGGCAAGCATTGCACGAACTTGGGCAGCAAGACAAGCAGCCCCTGCTGCCATCATACAGTCTTTGATGTTATCGAGGTGTATCTAAGCAGTGCTGTGTAAGTGAATTTTCTGGTACTGCTACCTACTTGACGGGTTTTTGAAGGTCCTCGCCGCTGCTGACGGAGCCTCGCTTCGCAACGGCCGCGAGCTTTTGGTGTCAGAGGCGACAAAACGGAAACCATGTAAGTCGGATGATTCGCCCGGCAGGAAGAAGCTCAACAAAATGAGCAGCGAAGGATGGTAGACCCCATCGTGCAGCCAGAATGCTCACGACTATTGCAGTTCAATACGAATATTATCCCTGCCCTTGTCATATGGATAGGGTCACAAGTATGCCTGGTTTCGAGGGCTTATGTTTCACGCACGATCGTGAATTGTGGCTTTGGAAGCGATTATGGGTGTATTTTTGTTGCGGGAGGGGGTAACCCAATTATCCATTCACCCTGGAATGCACTTCAGCCAAAACACGCACAATGTGCGCCGCCAATAGAATCCATCACGCCCTCTCGAGAAATGTCCATCAGCTTGACAATATGCAGACTAGTCTGCTGGAAGCCTCAGATTTAAGGGGAATGGGTTTGGGGGTATGTTGCGCTCTCCTGGAGCTTTCCCAAGCCCGGGCCCTAAACCGCGTGAGGCTTGTTGAATTCCTTTAAACATACAAATTCACAAGCCCTAAGCCCTAAGCAATGTGGCCCGAAGCTGAGCCAGGCCTCAGATGACGAGGTCACCGTGGCAGGCATAGCCCTGGCCATGGCAGATTGGCACCAAAGCGCAAGGCCTTAGCAGTCAGGCTTTGAGGCCTTTAGGGGTTTAGGCTTGGGGCCTAGGGTCTAAGCGGGCATGAAGGGATTAGATTCAGGGAAAGCCTTGGTGCCCAGACTTGTGGGAGCAGCTGGAAGGTAGAGACAGTTACATAATCTACACGATTTGTGGGTAGTTGTACCAAGAACCCATTTAATTAAGCTGGATCTATTTTCTAGATCCTCCCAACAGTTTCGGCAAAGCCTTTAGTGGGGACTCGTGCTCTTTTAATCCAGTTTGAAGCTTTGCGGTTCGTGGGCTTGAGCTTTGGGTCCAGGCTGACAATCTCAGGAGTTCTGAGATTTCGAAAGGCAGCCTTTCAGCAGAAGTAGTGTGCAGCAGAAACCACAAATCCCCACCATGTCCACTTCTCGTGTGGGAGCTGAGAGCGGTGTGAGCAGAGCGTGAGCAGGTACGAAGGACGCAGCGGAGCCTCGGCGGGAACTCAGCCATGCCTCGCTCTGCCAAACCCCAAAAAGCCTCCACCACACTATATATACTTTTTGAAAAAAAGAGGGATGTGTATGGAATGTGAAGGTGATGGTAAGCCTCATCCTTTCGCAGCCTCCTCAGAGCTGCGTATCTCTTGTACGCGTCAACTGTCAAGGTTCACAATGTAAGCCTCATTTCTTGCCCGTCTGGAAACGGGCATAGTGCAAGCTGCCTAACTCAACTCGTGGCATTTATTGCTCTTAGCCTTCAAGATACTTGGACAATTTTCTGAAAGCTTGAATCATCCTTGCGCCTTAAGCTCCTCCATGCTAAGCCTGAATAAAACTTTAAGGCAGTTTCCCCCGGATTTGCCTGGTATTCTCCACCGAGGGAAAGCAACAGTGCCTGTTGAGGGCGGTGCAAAGCGGCAGGTGGAAGGTGCTTTTCGGGATTCAGGGTTTAGAGTAGTGCATCTCACGAAGCATAACACCTTATTCCACATAATTATTCTAAGTGAACACTGGTCATTTTGTTTGCATCTTGAAGCTGCAAGGACAAGTTGGGAGTGTTGGGAGGGTTCGGCTAACGTGAGCGGCGACTTGAAGAATAACGGGCAGTCCCTATGTGCAGGAGAAACAGGACATTTGAGTGGCAGATGAAGTGGTTGCAGCTGCATGTAAGGCAACTACGGTTTGCAAATGTGCCGGCTTCGCATCTCACATTTTTGAGAAGTTGCCTCAGCACCCAGATATGAAGGACGGAATATTTTCCGAAGGGCAAGACGATCTCCTGGTCTCAAACTTGAACTCTGATTCAACCAGAGTCAGCTTTCAAGGGTTCCTATTGTTGTTCCCATAGGATCTCGATGATGATGCCAAGCAGCGTCAACGACAGTCACGTTCCACAAGCTAGGTAATTATCTTGACGCAGGCCTGCCATTCGAACTGTTGATACACTTGTGACAGTGCGACACAACTTGTTGCCATCCGTCCAGGCAACAGATGCCGCCCTTGGAGTCCCATAAGACTGCAATCCTGGAAGGTCTCTGCTGATGGTTGCAAAAGTTATGTGGAATCTAGAGCCAATCACTTAGAGCCTCGAGTTTCAATTGCTGCTCCAGACCCCTTCTACCTCCTGCTAAATGCTAGACATATTACGCAGCTGCTTCCCAACCTCTACCTTCCATCTGTGGCCAGGTGGTACGGCAAAAGTTTATCCTCGCACAGATCCTGTAGCGATCGGACTGACTCTGGGCCAGCCAGGTGAAAATTAGGAACGCTTTTGCAGGGAGTTCATGAAGAGTTCCTGACCTCCCAGGCACAGGAAGGCTAAGTGCCCCAGACGTTGGATGTTAGATACACGTACTTATTGTGAAGGGATGTGAAGGGTTTAGTTTGTAGGTAAATAAAGAACCACATTCTGAAGAGAGTATGCTGCAACATTACCGTTACGTCAGATTCCACTGGGCATTGTGATGTAATCCTGCACCGGTTGCTTCGTAGTGGTTCTTGGTTGTGCGGTTTAGGTGCGAAGGCTTGACAGACAAAGCTCTTGCAGTTGTTCTGGGGTGTTTGAATGCTCTTTCCCAACGATGCCAGAAACCGCAACCCTTGCTCCACAAAGCGCCGAATTGACGCCTGGACAGGCTTCCCAGAATCTTAGAACGCTCGCACCAGGCATTCGTCGGAAGATTGTCATAGCCCCCTATGTACATGTTAGGTTCTTCCAAGGATTCTCTCCCCAGATGGGCAGCGCTGCCTGCTGGGACGCAGTCACAAGCCGCTTTGGCTAAATGGGGTAGCAGTTCAAGGGTTCAGGACTTATGGACTTCTAGATGGTCAAAGTTCCGCAACCTGCATGAGTAGTTGTGATATGCGAGATTGCGCAGTGAAACTTTGTGAGCTTGATCGCGGCATATTTCGTGCTAGCTTGGTCCTGGGAAGCTCAGGGAGCTCATGACACGAATGAGTTGTATCCACTCCAAACATGGTCGCATAATATTTTCAAAGGCTCTGTTATTATGTGGGCTTGTGTCCGGCGGTTCGTGGGGGTTGGGGACAAAGCAACGTCCTCTTGGATTAACAAGGTATACTCAAAGAGTTTATGTGACATGTAGTTTATTTAAGGAAGTGGTTGAGTCAGTAGTGTTGAACACAGCTCTGCGAGATTGTGTAGTTTAGGTCAAAGTTTGCGTGGAGGCCTAGGATTTGAGGTTCGCGCTTGGAGCAATTTGTGGTGCTTGTTGAGCAAGAACGCCAGGTAGTGTGTTGTCGCATCAATTCTCCTTCAGGCTGTCATTTAAGCATTGAGAGTTTAGGTTCGTTGGAGATCAAGGATGGGTGCTTAGTTTGGGTAGCCGCGTGGTACTGGTACCGGTACTTGTAGCTTGCTTGAGCTGGGACTTCTTTGCAAGGTTCTCAGACGCAAGCTGATGCGTGCGTTAAGACCAAAACAGGATGCTCTTCTGTGTAATGGTCAGTTCTGATTAGGAAAGTACCATGGGGTCCACAATTCAATGAACCAACTCACCATGATGATTCCTCCGCTGAAGTCCTTGGATTTCCAAGACCTCGGGCAAGTCCCAGCTTCAACATCCCAAATCCTGCAGACCCGCTGCAACCTCAGCCCTCAACTTGCGCAACGGAGGTATCCCACCGGCATGTACACCTGCCTCTCTGGCTTCATCGACTCCTGTGAGAGTGTTGAGGAGGCAGGTGGGAGGTCTGACTCAAGTTCACACATTGGGGAAGGTTTCCTTTCAGCCTTAGATTTTGCACTTGATGTTGTCACTGTTGTTGTGTCGGTTTACATCCCCCATGAACCCCTTACAGGAGAGTCTTTCATGCAAGATTCCCCCGCAGTCGTGAGGCCGTGACCGTGAGACTCTCAGCTTCACAGCCCAGGCCAATCCTAATCCCGAAGCCTTATACTATGTTGAAAGAGATTAGCCCACTTCCAGAATAGCCTGTTTCCCTGAATACCCAACCACATTTGTGGAGACCGCGTTCCTTGCCGCAAATCCTTGCACCTTTAACCTTGACGCCTGTTGGGGTTCAAGGGGCACTGGCTCTAAGCTAATGACTTTAAACTCGGAGTCTCGTAGGGGCACATGCTGGCTTGGTCTCAAACCCGAGTGATTGCTATCTTGCCTTCTTCAGACTTGTGTCAGTGGCATGACTGGCTTTTGCATCGGTGCTGCCAGGCTTTTCGCCGAGAAGCCTTCGAGGATGCAGCTGACGTTTGTGATTCCGGGTTTTTGAGGACTTGAGGAATCGGGCGGCGGGTTTCATGTGTGGATAGCGCACATGTTTAATTCGGGATGCTAGTAGGAAGCATATCAGTCACCAGAAAGCACCTACTTTGGGGAGTGCAGGGTGTTGTGGAGCATGATGTCTAGGGTCTAGCAGCGATGATTTGTTCGAACCATGGTTCCAGTGCGAAGAGCATCTTGAAGAGCTTGCGCGGCAGAACGCGGATAGGACGTGTGGGACCGCTATTGAAATGGCAACTGAAGGCACGCGACTTTTAACTTTGGCTAGTAAATCAGCCGGGATCTTGGCCTCGTCAAAGCTTCACAGACTGGTACATCTTCCTGATCATGACCCAGCTGAAGGCAAATAGCTAAGTCTGCCATCCCGGTCCCTCTGCCCATGCCTCGCAGCTGCCTCTTCAATGTACATACGTCACCGTCATGCAGAAGGCATTTTCTTTGCATCTTGAGCTTTGCTTTGCCTTGTTTGTGCTCATGGATTTTCGCAACCTCCCTTCAATGCTAGAGGTCTGCTCAGGGCTTTTGAATAAGACGAATGCTGTGCACATTTGCAACCAGACTCCATAGCCATAGTTCCAACCCTTTGGACCCAAGCCCTGCGTTCATGGCCTCATTCACTCTAGAAATGCTGGCTGCTAGGCCGGACCCGAGCATACTAAGTAAGCCTTATAAGCCTCTAAGCTCCAAGCCCCAATTGATCCCGAGCTTCCTTGTCCAGAATCCCCTAAGATTCATCTCCAACATCACGAAGTTGGACGCGGAACCGTTTGTTACTCTGAAACGCGAAGACTGAAACATGGATGCTCATTCAGGAGGCTGGGGTCCGGCTAGGTTCCATCTCCTTGGCGGCCTCTCAGCCGTGGCCGATTGGCGCCGTGGATCATATTGAGTAAGCAGCGGATTCTGCTTTACCTCTTCGTTTGTCGGTGTTCAGGATCAATCTCAAAGTGTTTAGGTATGGACCAAGGTGTGCCTGGACATCTCTTCCATACTCCGATCGATAGGGCCTGCATCAGCGAGCGGTTTCTCGTTCCACACTGTACCCATCATACCAAATCCTCATGAACAGCGACATACTGCGAGCCAAGTTCCCCCCCTTCCACAGGGTATGCAGCACAAAGATTCGAGTGGCTAACCAAATGCCAGTGTTTCTGAAAAACTCCCTTGTAGTGTGCCGTGTATGAACTATATGATATCATTCCCAGAACAGAGTTGTCATCTTTTCAACTATTGAATTCTGTTGGATTTTGGTGATTCTGTTGCTCAGTCTCGCGCGGCCCTGAGGGGGCTAAGGTGTCGGGTCACCACAGGTTGTTAAGATTTGAGTGTCGGAGTTCCGTGTGTCAGCGATGATTGTCTGTGGGTTTTGCTCTAGGTATAAGCCTCCGGGGGTTTCAGATTCAAGGATGCAAAGATCAGATTTCCGCGTTTAGGGTGTACTCTCACTACCGGTAGCAAGTTATTGCGAACCAGCGCCAGTCAGTGTGATGTTGACTTCTATTTTCCTAATCTGTCAATGCCACCCTCGCGCGTTTTAAAACTCAGCTTGGAACTGCAGAGGACGAGGTGGCTCCTGCGAGCTCATGTTGGCCTGCCGCGCTGTAGCTCTCAGTGAGGAGCCTGACTAGCGCTTCTGCAGGGCTTTAGAGTTTTGAGCTTGCGGAACAAGTGTTATTTTGGACCTAGATTTGGAAGGATCCTGGAAGCGTGCTCGTAGCTTGTGAGCCCCAAGAGACATATGGATGGGCTTGATCAGGAAGGGGTAATGGGGCCGTGAATAATGTATGCACATCCTCTTCATTGTTCCCTCAGCATCAAGTGGCATCGTCCGTTTACATGTCTTCCCCGCCGAAAGTAAGTTTTCCCACAGCAGCCTATTCTGATAGTTTTGGCCCAGCTGCTCGTCCTTTTTGGGTTTTGGGCTTTCTCAGCTTCACAAAGCAAACGCTTTTCGTCGCAGAATGTCTTCTATCAGTTGGTCTGAGCGGTACCAAACTTGTGCCTTGCAGGCCATTGCCATTGAGATGTTCACACACTTATAAGCATCATATACACTTTGGCAGCTCATCTCCGGGAGTTACCTCCCTAGAAAAGGATGGTCAGGTCACTCAGTGTACAAGAACTTCCTGCGTAAGACTTGTTCCTTGCGGATCCGCAGTCGGTTCATCATGCTGATGGCCGCACAAACGCAAAGGCGGGCTTCCTGTGCTTAGCTCAAGCAGGTTTGCAGTAGCTCTTGTGTCCCCAAGCCGGCGCAAGATTCGCTCAGCAGTAAGAATTATTGTCCGAACAAAATTTGCAACTTGGTTTCGGGCTCCGGAGACCTGAACCTAAATCGTGCACAGCAGGTTGCTAACCAAGTGTAGCTCTTCCGCAGGACTTAGCCGTGAACCGAGAAGAGATCGAAGATGCCAGGTGGGGGTATGGACTTTGCCTTGTCAGTTTGCAAAATGCTTTGGGCGGTCGGTCGAGTTGGATGTGTCATCGATTCTGCTGCCCATCACGATAACTGATGCATCGTGGTCGCCAAAGGCACCTTGCAAGACGGATTCCGATCAACGGGTCAGTCAGGGATCTGCAGGCAGATCTCCGTTCTAAGGCCCAAATTCCAAACTCCAAACCCACAGCCATGCATCGCCATGGCAAAGGGGTCCTTTGACGTTGTTCACGCCCATGCACTTGAAGACGTGCAATAGTCGTTTGAAGACTCAACCAAGCCCGTAAGCTCGTCACAACTGCAAGCAGCTATGCTTGGTAGCACATCCACTGTCGAGAACAGTACCAGAAGAAGCACTTGAGATTGGAATAGTAGCATTGGCTGTTGTTGTGCTCATTGTAGTCATTGTCATAGGAGAAGCATGCAGTAGCCAGCAGTAGCAGTATCAGTACGTAGCAGCAGCAGTATCAATACCAGTAATTAGCAGTCATCCTCGTCATCATCATTCTCGTGGTAATGAACATTCTTGTCGTTGTCATCAACATTGTTCTACCTCGTCGTCGCTAGCATAATTAGTAGCAGCAGTCGCAGTGTCCTCTGTTGACGTCGGTCCCGCAGCGGCAGCGGAGGCGGTGGCGGAGGCGGAGGCGGTGGCGGTGGTGGCGGCGGCGGCAGTGGTTGTGGTGCTGGTGCTGGTGCTGGTGCTGGTGCTGGTGCTGGTACTGGTGCTGGTGCTGGTGCTGGTGCTGGTGGTGCTGGTGCTGGTGCTGGGGCTGGGGCTGGTGCTGGTGCTGGTG